AGAATGTGCTGGAGATAATATATGCATTTTTTGTTGTTCTGGACACAAAAATAAGACAAAGCATTTGAATTAGACGAGAGAATTTTAGCAATGTTACCTCATTAATATTTTTCTTCAATCGATTAACATTAAATTATTAAAATTTATTGAATAATCGGATTTATTGAATAAAATATTATAATTTTTTTTTTCAAAATTTCCAACTAAACCCGTTTTCAAGTTTTCTATTTTGAGAAACAATTTTTCAGAATGATCAAGAGAACGAATTTTCAGCAATTTTAAAATAGACATTCAAAACAGAAAACACAAAATGAATTCAAAATTCAAAACACAAAATAGAATGGCCCTGAGTCTCTCCATCGATGTTTCTTTACTGACGACTACCGGCATGACAGATACGAAGCCATTGTTCTTCTCGACTCTGAAGACTTGAGGTAGTTTCACAAATTTTATGTTTTCCCCTCAATTTTCTCCACGCCCTCAAGCTCTCTCCCAAGTCATTTCTGTTCGAATTAAAGGATGGTAACATGATTTTAGTTTTTTGAGTTTGTCTTCGGTTTCGTGGCTTGTCGCTGTTTAGGACATTTGTGTGTATATATATTTTTAAGTTACTAATTCCACCGAGGTTGAACTCTGTTCTTAGAACAAGGTAGAATTGATGCAGCTAATTGCTTTAGCCTTTTCTATATTTTAGTACATCGTTTTGGATTGAACCATCTTTATTGCCCTTTTCTATTTCGTTACATTCTCTTTATGCTTCAATTATTATTTTTTATCTTTGTTATTGGAAAAAAAATCATTTTTATTTTAGCTCGTGCGCACGTTGTGCAATGTCCGTGCGCGTACCATGCCCATTAAGGAAAGGATTATCCCAGCTCTTTTTACATGCCTTCTATAATTAATTCTAAAATACGTGGAATCCACGCCGGGTTTTTAGGATCCCACTAATTGCTAACAAGTTCTTGAATGGAGATGAAACAATTTGAGGAAGCTGAAGTAAAATGCAAAACCAGCAGAACAGGAATCGAGGAAGGCTAGTTGAGTTCATGACAGCTTCTATACGTGTGTGATGCATTCTTCTCAATTTAAGGTTGGGTGGTTAAAATTTAAGTTTTCAATTGGGTTTTCTTTCATGATTTTTGACTAATAAAATGTTATTTGTTCAATTGTGTGACTCTTGTTTTAAGCAAAGTCATGCGCCTGTTTTTCTTTTACCTTTAGAACATGTGTGACTTCTATAATCAAACCACGGTTCTTAATTATTTAAACTACCATGATTAGGGCTTCTCTTCAT